CAATCCCGTCTGGCCAGCTCAACACGCCGCTTCGCGCAGGTATCGCGCCAGGCACGAATATGACCCAGAGATGGGGCCTTGTTGAGTCAATCTGCCCCCCAGAGGGGCCTTCTCGGGTCGACCTCTGGTCGATCTCATGTCGATCTTGGGTCGATCTCGGGTCGATCTCGGGTCGATCTCGGGTCGATCTCGGGTCATATTCGTCCTGCTCGCCTCGCGTTATGGTATTGTTGGTTATTTTGGGCTGTCGCATCCCCCTGCGCGGCGCCCCCTCCACTGCGCTCCGGCTCGAGCGCCTATTGCCAAATCGCGACTTTCGAGCGCAGTGCATGCGCCCCACACGTCACGCGAGCGCAGGAGAGTTTGCGGCAGAGCAGTACCGTGTACTAGCCGGAGGCATCGCGCCGAAAACCCCGCGCATTCCGCCCCAACAGAGGCTGCAGGAGGCAGATGGCCAATAGCGACGATCGTTACGAAATGTAGCCTTACCATGTGCTCCAAAGAGCAAAGTGCTCCATGTGCTCCACACAACGCAACGACGGTGTAATAGAGGAAGAATTTCATGCTCACAAGAATGTTACGACACTCTCTCGCACAACACTGGGCCGCACGGGACTGGCGCGCACTGGCACTTACACAGGTACACCACGTCCAGCCGCCTATGCTGACTCCTGCGAGGACGGAGAGGCACTTAGCTGTTAGCTCCGTCCGTATGTTACCGCGATCTGCTCGCGCCTCGAGGTGGGGCGCGCTGAACAGGTGAGGGGTGAGGGCTATACCACACACATAGAGCCGCAGATGCAGTTCACCCAGTTCCCACCTTACGCCGCTTTCTGCTGCCCGCTTCTGCATTGTCGCCGCTGCCGCTGCCGCTGCCGCTGCAACTGCCGCCGCCGCCGCCGCCACCACCATCGCCGCCGCCGCCGCCGCCGCCGCCAGAGCTGTCGCCGTCGCCGGAGCCGCCTCCGCCACTGCCGCCACCACCGCTGCCATCATCCTCAAAATCCTTGTCTAGTACTGCCTGATACGCCACCAGCTTGGGGATAGAGCCAGTCGCCCGGAAGGCTGCCATCTTCTCCACCGACGCCTTGCCGACGTTGGGCAGCTTCTTCTTCTTGAGGTCGACCGATGAATTAGTGACGGCAAACGGGCAGGCAGCAAACGCCTGCGCCGCCTTGCGGTAAGCCGAGCCCTTGGTGCCAGCGTTTTCCGGCTCCGCCTTGAAGGTGGCATCCGCGAGGACCCAGAAGACGTCGACGAGGTCCTGATTGTCTGCGTGCTGCGCCGCCGGCTTCTTGGCGTCGGATAGGGCGATGCGGCGACGCGTGTCGCTCGGACGCCGCGATGGCATGCGCAGAGTTCGGGGCGTTATTTGTGCGACGGAGTTTAGTTTAAACTTCTTTATTTCGGAATCCACTTGGTTTCTCGCCGGCCGGGGCTAGAGGCCTCAGCTGCGCAAAAAAGTCTGCCGCGCAACGAAGACCGCGGTCGTCGCACGCTGCTGACGCCCAGGATGACAGAATTGGCCTTCGCCAGCCTGAGGACTATTGTGCGCCTTGGCGAGGCGGTCCCGGTGGTATTTTTTTAGAGCTGGTTCGGCATGCACGAGCGCGTGGGTGTGTGTGAGCACCGCGGGTCTTTTTTGCGATCCCGGGTCTTGTGCTTGTGCGTGATGCTGTGTGGCATGTGGTCGTCTGCAGTCAGTATAGACATGATAGGGGTGGACTATAGGTCCAGTAGGTCAATTGATCTCGCTTAGTCGCATCGTGGGGAGCTCATCCCGGGCCGTCGCAGGCCGCCGCGCATCGGGTCTTTTTTGCGAAGCTGAGGCCTCTAGAGTGTGTGTGTGTGTGTGTGTGTGTGTGCCCCCCCCGTTATCCGTTAGTGCGGACGTCGCCGCGGCTGCCTCTGCCGCGGCGGCTGCTGCGCGCACGCGGCGGCGCCGCTCTCTCGCGAGACGGCTGGCGACGCGGCTCGCCGCCGACGTACGGTGCGCTCGTCCGACGGTCCGCAGCGTGGCGTGCGCGGCGCTGCGCGCCGCTCTGCGAGCGCTTGTGCGCCTGCACTGCGTGTCTCTGTTGCTGCTGGTGGTGGTGGTGCTGCTGCTGCTGGTGCAGATGCTGCTGCTGGCGCGGCGCGGCTCTGCGACTGGGCTCGACGCGCGCGTCGCGAGCGTCTGACGCGGCGGGCGGCGTCGGGCAGGTGCGCTTCTCTCTCGGGTGGTGGTGGTGGTGGTGCTGCTGCTGCTGGTGGTGCAGATGCTCCTGCTGGT